AATGGAAGTTTAGCGAAAAAAAGACGCATAGTCTGTCTCCTGGCCGGGCCAGGCTGGCCCCCTAATAAAGAAAATACAAATTTAAGTTGGGAAATTTATAATTTACTACAATTTATCGTCAAACGTCAAATTTTTTTAAAATATCTAAATATAAAAGATTTTATACCATTTTAAATTTTTACAAAAATAATTTTTTTATGATAAATTATAAATTGCACCACATCTTTTATTATCTTTATTTGGGGGCCAGGGGACAGACTCGGCGAAGCAAAAAGCTATATTTTCAATTTAATTTCTGCTTTTGCAGAGCTTGTTTATTTATTGTCATTATAAACTCATATAAATTTGGTGTGGGTCCCATGTCTAATAACTGAGATATCGGTATACCCATAGAGAAAGTTTCTTTTTTTTCAAGCGGCCATGATATACAACCTTATATGCCTGTATAGAGATAGTTGAAGTGCGTCTTTTTCATTAGCGGCAGACAAAAAACTCAAAAAAGCCTAGGGATAGAAGTAAATCCATAGGTGTCTCAATAAACGTCAAATAATAAAATTAATTTAGAATTTCATACAAAGCAATCACGTTGTATTAATTATATTAATTATAATCGCACGGAATATTTAGTGATTATTTATTAAATTTTAATTGAAAGAAATAAAGAACAACTAGTTTATTGATATAATATTATGACAATATAATTCATTAATATTAGAACCAATAAAATGCCAGTATTCCATAGTGACGTATTTTATCACAGCGGCAATAATTTTTATCATCTTGTTTACACGTTACTATGAACTTTGACGTTTTTTTGATTTGACATCTGTTGTCATTTAAATACTGTGTTTGTTACCTAAATGATTAAAATAATGAATTATAAACTCTAAAAGATCGATGGGTTGGTGTAAACGATAATAAAATTAAGGTAAGTTTGAATAAATAAGGTTTATTAAAGTCTTTTTATATTTTAAAGCACATTTTAATTTCAAATGTCAAACTAAAAATTCGTTAAATCCTAAAATTCATTATATTTTCTCACTAAATATAACTCGTGGTATGATTAATTATCGATGATATTTACTCATTAAAACCGAAGCAGCACATTTCACTCGTCCTGCGGACTCGTGAAATCTGCAGCTCGGTTTCAATTCGAAAATATCATCGATGATAATCATACCACTAGTTATATTATGGGTGATGATAGACGAGTTGCCAATGTCGGAACTCCAAACAAATGTCAGTACGTCAAAATTAATTCAAGCGCAGCATTTTGACAGAGCAGGGTTTATTTTTAGTTTAGGCTTTGTTATCTATGGTTTAGGATATTTATCGGCATTGTAAGTAAGGGTTATAAGTTTTTTTAGCTTTTATCAATAATTTCTAATGCTTTTAGCCAAAATTTTATACCACATGAGTTAAGAGTAAATAAAATAATTCCATTGCTTATCCTATTTATATTACGCCCTTGAAAAAAAAATTGTATATGTTATTTGGAGTAGACGCTCTTTTTGTGCTTCGTACAGTTGCCTGCCTCAGCTACGCTTCGGCCGTCAATCTCTGTACTCACCACAAAAAGAGTCGCTTCTACTCCTTATGACATAATCTACTATTCTATATGGTCTACTCAAAATGCACCAGCCGGCCCTGATTACACTCCCAAATAATGCAACTACACGTCACAATTACCTGACCAGTTCAGTTCACTATTCGGTAACGAAGCTTCGTGACGAACCCGTGGCGAATTATTTTTAAAAGAATTGTGACAAACTCTTCGTGAAAAAATCGTCGTGAAGAATTCGTGGCGTATTCTAGCCACATCGTAAAGATTGTTATTCATTTTAATGTAACGCATTCGTCACAAAAACTAAACTTAAATTTATCGCGTTGTGGCAACGGTTTTTAAATAAAAACGTTACGACTTTTAAATAACGTCCAACTCACAACTGACTGAAAACGTCTCGTTTACGTCAAGATTTTGTTACGTTGTGCTATAATATTTTTTCTACTCCCACCTTTAAAACGACCATTATCGTATATGTTTAAATGACACTAAGTGACCTTTTAAATACACATTGACAAGTTGTGGCTTTACGGCGTTTTAGTCACGGGCTGAAGTTAGCAACAGGTTTTTAGTCACGGGCTGAAGTTAGTTTTAAGTTAGTTGACAGTTGTCAAATGTCATACAATCGTTAAAATAAAGTGCCCTTCTTGTAAAATAATACTGAATGTGAAAATTATTTTATTATCTCAATACAAAAATACAAAAGTATTAAATAGTTTCTCAACGCCAATATTTGAAAAGTTTATATGAACATTGTACTGACCTTTTAATTTCGCCGGCAGTAAACTATAACTGTAAAGTGCTCATAAACATCTTTACTTTCACTGTAAAAAACTGTCCATTTTCAAGAAATAAATTTCGATTTATAACCTTTATTATCTGTGTTTATAAAATAGAAAAATTTGACATTTGACGGTGACACACAGATTCCCCTATTGTTATCTATAAAAATATTTGATTTAAATCATTTTAAGATATTAATAAGTATTTGTCGTAGAAAAAGTATAGTATGCACCTCGTTTATAAACTTTTCTTTACACTCATTAGTTTAAGAACTCGCTCGCAAGCTCGCTCATGCCTAAATTTAATTAGTGTATAAAATGGCGTTTATCAAACTTGATACATAATATACTATTATAATATATTATAATATATATATTATATTTTTAGTTCGTCGGAAAATAACAAGTTTTACAATTGTTGAGAGATAGAGAAAGGTCATTTATGAATAAATTAAAGAAGGAGCCAAGCTTTGACCATTCAGTTACCACAGACGGAGCCGAATAAAAATGGATTTATAACCGTTATAGCATACAAATTGTTGTTTATCTTTGAAATAGCTTTTATAAACCGTCACCAACGCCCATAATTATCCAACTTTCTTAAAAAGATAGCAACTTTATTGAATGCTTTTTGCTATCCAGGCCCGGGCCTTTGAAATAAATTGATTTTTTTTTCAAGCGTATAACAATTTTTATATTATAACACTCATACGCCTATATAGAAAGATATTTTTAGGCAGCCAAATTATTATACTCCGCTGTACAATAATGACAATACATAGGAAGTGGTTCCATCTATCGTGTTTAGCTCTAAATCAGCAAAGAAAATGTAAACTTACATAAATAAATTTATATACATACCCTATAATATAACATACCTATGAAAAACGACAAACCTGACAAAATGTCATAAACCCGCTTATTTTAATGAAAGAACATAATTATTATATGCTTAAAAAAATGGTACCTATAGGTATGTATACATACAACACGGCAGAGAAAGCATATTAACTGCCTCGCTCAGATCTGCAGCGAACACTGAGCTCGGCTTTCAATAAACGCTTTCTCCGCCTAGGCGCGCCTGTTAGATATAATAGTTAAATTCATATAGAAACAAAAACAAAAGCGTGCCAGATTGCCTGTTAAAAGTTAGACGCTACCGAAAAAAACAGCATAAAGTGCGGTACATTCAAGTTTAAATATATGATTGGTTTGTTTTCTTTGGTAACAACGTGACATAATCTTACTTTTTATTTGTAGTCTGTTGTGTTCAGAGTCTCTGGTTGTTTTTATGCTGCCGTTATCAAAAAACAAACTTTTTTGTTTTGTTTGGCTGCCGTGCTTGATATTTCTTGGATTAAATGCTGCTAATTAATATATATTTATATATGAATAACATTGTTTTAGAAACCCAGAGCTGTATTGGTTGTAAAAAAAATTTAGGGCAATAGTATCAAATAGAATGTTTCGTTTGAATTCCATTAGTTTTATTATTAGCTATATCATAATTTGAAACATATGTAATTCTTTGAGAAAAATGATCACAGAGGACTTTACACTTTCATTTTTGGAGTCGAAGTGCATGACCTCTCATGTTGCATACTAGCCCTTGTGTACAATGTACACTGTACATACATTGAAATATGATTCAACGCCCATGGGTAATGGAGGTTACGATTTCACAATATCATTATTCAAGTATGTAAAAATTTCATGAAAAAATAATAATAATTAATCGGGCAAACTTGCGATTTGTGAAAAGATAAGTTAATTTTATTAAAATAAACTTGGGGGCGTGTTATGTTCCCTTATATTAAGAAATAACGTAGTTATAGTTATGAAAAAGGAATTACAATTAATATCATATACATACATTATATTCTTTTGATAGATGTTTGGTTACTAAAAAATGTTTACAATTTATTTAATAGAAACATTTAAGGTATGCAACATTTGAAGTAAATTTCCGAAAAACGGCTGGTCTGGTCTGCAGACCATGGTCTAAGTTTTTAGTGTTTTCAGTTTATAGTCGTAGTTATTGATTTAATCGATTTCATAACTACAAAATGGAAAATTTAATCTCAAAAAACAATTACCTACTGAAGGATACGAGACAAAGTTTCAAAAATTAAACAATAATATGACTCATTTCGGCTGGATCAAAAATAAATAAAAAAGAATTAGAAACTGATACTTTTTATTTTGGCTGTCGCCCTTGACACGATAAATAACAGATGTACTAAATGGTAAATAAAACCAGTTAATTTTAAATTCTAAAAAGCAATAAGTAGCTAAGTTTTAAAATACCTTTTTTTTACTATTATAATAATAGTTATTTTACTATTATAATAATAATTATTAGTACTAGGTATTTTATACCTATATTAAACTAAATTTGTAAAACTTTGAAAATGCAGTAGATTATTGGACTATATCTAATAGATATCTATTTAATAAATAGTATTTATTTATTATTAGGCAAAATTAAAATTAAACAAATAATAAATAATATAAAAATATATTTAATTATAACTAAATGAGACTCATATAAAACTTATAAACTACTTTGTACATACATTGTAAATATAACATAAATACATGCAATGAAGTTTTATAAACAAAGTGAAATAATAAAATATAAACCTAATTTAAACAAATTTGTAAATAAATTAATAATATTTTATCACTGTGTACACTTTAAATGCAAAAACTATATTTTGCTTTTTGGTGTAGTATGCAAAAATGGTAAAGAAAATATGTAAACGGTACCTAATTAAAACATTTATCTAATTTTAGTAGGTTATTACAAATTATTACTTAATAATGGGATCCCCATGATTCAGTATTAGGATCCATATTAAAATTCGGAATGGTACTCCCAGTAGGTGTGAACATCGATCTTTGATTCAAATACTGATAGGATGGTAAATACTGACTACCATTGGAATAATATGGTGCATTGGTAGGCATAGTTGATGGATAAGTGCATATTGGGTTTGATGAGTGCGCAAACCTTTCACACTTAACTGAACTAGGTTGAAGCTCATGATATCTATTAAAAGCAGCTGTTTCTTCAAATTCGTTATGAGTGTAGGTATCAGATCCTAACTTTTTACTTTTGTAGTTATTGTTTCCCTCACCTTCTTCTTGTAATCCTTTTAAATAGTTTTGCGAATACGAGTAGGATTGGTTGTTTTCAGAAGGTAAGTATTGATCAAAGTCGCTGCTGTCCAAGCCGTCTTCAGGAATATAAGCTCCTTCCAATTCAGATATTCTTGGATAGCTCATATCTAAACCGTGATTATCACAACCAGAAATTAACTGAGATATTGGAGTATCGGATTCCGATGAACATGTTACTGAAGAAACAGAAGAGTTGCTTCTTGGACTGGAAGCAGAATCTTCTTGTTTCATTTGTCGAGAAAAAGTAACGTTTTGACCATGCGGCAATTGGTGCATGCCATCGTTGTGAGGTTTATTTTGTTTTCTTCTTCTCGGTTGGTATTTGTAATCTGGATGTTCTCGTTTGTGAATTACTCTTAGCCTTTCCGCTTCTTCTATAAACGGTTTTTTGTCATTTTCACTTAAGACCCTGTAACAATAAAATAAAATACCATAGAACATAGTCATATATTAAATAGGTTTGTATAACCTAATATCAATAAAAAAATATCGGCTATCGTTTTAACTAATCTATGTAAATAGTAACATTTTCATATGCGTGTTAACTCCCAGGTGTCTAAATAAAAGTTATCTTAAAGAAATAATTGCACAAACATGGGTAATAAGATGCTTATCTAATTTCCTGACAATTAAATGGGGGAGATAGTAGAATTTTTAGTAAATAATAGGGGTAACGTAAAAATTATACCTGTGTATATGTAACTAAACATAATAAATTATGGCCAGGGATGGCCTATTCCATAGGGCAAGCTGATACCAATGTAATAATTTTTTAATTTTAATTTTATTGTGCAGTACACATATGTATATGTATATGTTACCGGCAATGTAAAAAAACCGTCGATGTGCGAAATGTCTAGATACTCTGCAAACTGACCAAATTACAGGATATTGTTCAAAATTACTTCCATTTTGGGCAATCAGCATATTTACTACTCTATTTTAGTGAAACTGAAAAATGTCTGATGCGATAGGAAATCTGGGCATTAAAGGTTTTTACTCCTCACAATTACTAATAATAATACTTTTACTTCTGTCCAACTTCGCTATTAAGTCAGAGATTTATAATAGCGAGAGGGAAGAAAGGAATATTTTTAGAGAAATTAAATACATTATGCAGTAAAAACCCAACCCAACCCAACCATTATATAAATAACAAGTGTTTGTTGATTTAATTTTTGTTTGTAGTTTTTCTTTTCTAAAAACAAAATTCAGTTTATTAATTTTACATTTGTGTCGTAAATTAGTGTTGCGCAAACTGCCTAGTCAATGTGAGAAGTAAAAACCTTTAACCCGGATTGACTAATGCATCAGACATTTTGCAGATTGCCTTAAATTCGCAGATTGCCGAAAATGGTAGTGATTTTGCACAATGTCTAGTAAATTGGTCTGTTTGCAGAGTATCTAGACATTTCGCACATTGCCGGATTTTTTACTTTGCCGGTAACATATACATAGTTGTAATTTTAACGTTACCTATATTGTTTGGGATAGTTTTTAAAATGTTTATTATAATGTCAAACTTTTTAAAAGTACTATATTTTATCTGCAAGCGTTCTATAATTTAAGCTTTATTATTGTCTACGCTCACTACCACAGTAGTCGATTATCTCCTAGGCAGTAAAAATAATTTGGACCAATCAGGTGTCAAAGTTTTAACATCCTAGTCTGTAAAAATTCCGTAAGGACCAATACAAAAATTCGATAACTGGTAACTCTGAGCTATCTAACCTTACTTTATAATTTTAATAATTGTTATTATAATTGTAAGTACGTTTCATGTATCGTTTATGCCATTCGGCTAAGACGTGCCTTTTTGTGTTTCGCTCAATCTTTGAGCTCAGCACAAAAATACTCACTTTTTAGCTTTATGACTTAAATTACTATTTAATTGTGGTTAAATAATAATGTTTAATAATAATTATTAACCCATTCAACCCTGAAACTTTTGAATTTTCAAATATTATATAATATATTTTAAGAAAAAAAAAGTATGTTTTCTTTTGCAAATTGATATTTAAAAATAACATTAATTTTAATATTATATCATGTACAGTGTTTCTTAGTAGGTAATACTTTATAAAAAAACGTCTGTTTATATTAAATATATATATGTTAAATTCCAGATATTAGTATTAATTTGAAGATTGTAGTCTTAGACTTTTTAATAGACGTTTAAATAAATAATTACTTATTATGCAAACCTAAAAAATAAAATGTTTTTCCTGTTTTAAACTTTATCACTAGACAAGTAGTAGTTTGATAAATAAAGTTTTAATCATTTTTAAATTCTAAATAAAATTTTATTTTGTATTTTGGGTCCTATTTAAAAAAATTATTTCTGAAATTTTTTATTTTTGTATTTCAATAAATTTTAGTCCGAAATCTTGTTTCTTCGTTTCAGGTCACAAATTGACAAAGATTTCTAAATATTTTAATCGTAGATACAAAAATCTTATACAATCTATTAGATACTGCATGATAACCGCCCCCCTGCTTATGAACGCGCAATCAAGCCACGCCGTCTCGACGGGGGGCGCAGTCAAAGTCGCCGCCAATGCTGCGTAATGTGGCGCGTACCTTAATTTACCCGATGGATCTCGGATAGCTAGAAACATCGGTCGGTACGGGTCATTACGGACCATGACTGGGGCGGTACCTGAACATGTGTTGTCACCGAAACAGACATGCCATTTCTATTTGACCCGTATCTACTTGTGAAATTCCTTTTATTTCGTAATAATCCGAGTTGGGCAATAGGCTAATTGATATTGCAATTTTAATGGGAAACAATTTTTATTAAACCAGGTTTGGATCCACAAAATTTAAATGATAATGATAATTTAATCTGTTTTAAATAAATATGATTTATACTAATCGGTCCCTAAAGTTTCATTTATGGACCGATTATTATAAATCATATTTATTTGAGAGGAGATTAAATTATCATTATCATTTTAAATTATCATTTAATTTTTGTGGCTAAAACACCATAAAGTCGCACTAGATCCAAAAATGAATTAGTCAAAAATGACTTATTTCTACAGTTATTAGTGGCTGCTTTTTCACTTATAACATGATATTCCATGGTATAGCCAATATAATAGGCAGTTCTTTTATAAAATTGTCTGCATAATCCGAAAATGTCAAAAGTTATAAAAGTGAGATATAGTCAATTTTCCATATAATATGGAATTGACTATATCTCAAAAACTGGTCTACTTTTATACTTTTTGACAGTATTTTCGGATTCAGGGGACAATTTTACATAAGAATTGGCTATTATATCGGGGATACCATGCTATCCCATGGTATAAGTGAAAAAGCAGCCACTAATAAAAGTAGTAATTAGTCATTTTTGACTAATTCATTTTTTAGAGAGGAACTTGTCCATATAGGAGTAGATAAAAATACTAAAGGCTTCATGTATTAATAATTTTATTCCTGCTCTCTTAAAATAGATTAGTCAAAAATTACTAATTATAAGTCGTATTTGACTAATTGTCATAGCGAAAAAGCAGTCAATATAAGTTTTTTATTTACCCGTCCGTATGCTTGAAATGGACAAACAGGGAAATTAAAAAAAAATAGATAAATGTACCTAATGTATCTAATGGATGGCATGTAGGATTACTTTTTGAAAATATGTTTAAGCTATAAAGAATGCATTAATGTATCAACAAATAAAATTGTGCCTTGATCCAAATTTTATATTGAACAAATAACAAAAAATGTAAATTTCTTAAACTTTACGGTAAATTATAATATAAGAAGAACTAATAGGTTTTTGTTAATTAAATAATTATTATCACTTTTTTTAAGTGGAATAATGTTTTTTATAATTACCTAGCAATTCCATAAAATAAATAAATAAATTAAATAAAATCACTAAACACGTTTACGTATGTATTTTCTAGTACCTATTTATATAAATATATATAATATAATAAATGCGTGTGGTGGTATCGTCAGTAATAAGTGGAAAAGCCAAAAGGATGGTGTTTTATATTACGAATAATCATTTTAATAGAAAATCTTTAAAAAAATATTAAAAGTAAACCTTCAATTTTCTTAGTTTCTTTAAGAAACTTTCTTGACCCATCACTGGTAATATTCATAAGTAAACCTTTTATAAAATAATTATGGTAATGAGTTATAAATATATAGTTTAATATTTTCCTAACTTTCCAGAATCAAAGATTAAAAAACAATTACGTCTTAAACAATTTAATATGGTATGTAGGTATATTTCGAGAAAAGCAATTAATATGGTTAATATTGTACCGCTGAAAGCTATTTACACCATCGTCGTCTCCAACGCCGTAATTGGGGTAGATGTAATTTCATATCGAGATTAAAATGATTCGTCATTGGAGTTTGTTTATCTTTTGCATATGTTTGCTGGCTTTGCACTTCTTAGAATCGAGAGTAAGTAATAATCGCTTTTCGTATTTAGAACCTATTAGGTTTTTAATATTGTTTGTATATCAAACAGTGTAAAAAATATGTTGTTTAATATACAAGGTGTTAGGGATATATGCACCATAAATTTATACGTGGTTGTATTTTATCAGGGAATCCAAAAGTTTGTGTTAATTAAAATGTACTCAGGTATTATTTTACTTATATATTGTTAAAAAACAAAAATTATTTTACACTACATTTACAAGGTAAGGCATTTTTTTATGGATAAAATATTTGCACCTATAAAGTTATGGTACTAATTTTCCTAAAACCCAAAACAATGTAAAAATATTATCATACTCTAATATGAGTGAAAAACTAAATTAGAATCTTAACGTTAGTTCATTGTGAACATCCGGTCAATTAAGAGATAACAGATAAACGCTTTGCTTGCAAAATAATCAACTAAAAACAATATTAATTATAAGTTTAAAAATAAGATATGGGATTATAGGAGGGCAGTATGATAATTGATTAGCCTTAAATACTAAGGAGTTATAACAATAATTATTATTATAATTAATAAAAATCTTAAGTTGATTTGTCAAATGGTTTGTTGTCATGGACTAATTTCGTGTTAAAAAAAAATGGACAATGTTAAGATTTGCGGTCATTACATTTTTGCAGCTTAAAAGGTGTTTAGAAACTATTTAGTCTTGCGGAAGAAGAATAAAATTAATTGAAAAAACTGAAATTTTGTAAACAGTTCAAAAGAACGGGTTCCCAATATTTTGACTAAGGAGTTTGACATGAAAAAACTGTCCGCCTGATGGTTGCCGCGTTTGCAACCATTATGGATAAAATAAACGAATTAAATTACGATTTGCACCAACATACGTCGTATTCTATAATTTGGCATCCTCAAACTTTCACTTGTTTCCTAGGCTCAAAATATGTATACAGACAGACAGACAGACAGACAGTAAAGCTGCCCTGCCCCAGCAC